GAAGTCAGATTTTGGCGTTCTTTTTATCGAACTTCTCGGTTTAACGAATACTACGACTTTTATTTAGATAACTAAGGCTAAAAAGTAGTTTATCAAAAACTCACTTTTTACTTCATTCGGCGTCGTGTTGGTTTTGTCGCGGATCTTCGATTGGTCATAACTTCTTCGTTATAACTCAGATTTCGACGAGGCTTTCGCCTAAATGTTTCTAACGATATTATTTACAACTTTAAATAATAAAATTTTACTTATTTCAAATTTTATATTTTCGCTAAATTTCACTATTTGGCTTTTAATTGGAATCTCATAAGACTTTCAATATTTTATGAGTGATTCTAAACATAGTTTTACTTCATTTCTAGTAAAAACTATATGTTAGAACTCAACACTCAATTTCACATAATATTTCATAATATTATTAAACTTTCAAATTACATAACACGATTTCAAAACGTGTATGTTACATAAGATCTGAATTTCTAACATGTTGTTTGGTTGAAACCTCTGAATTGTTATGTTGGATGATAAAAATGACCATTTTACCCTTCTATATGATTTATTTCAATTACTAGGATTTTACTTTCAATTACAACAATGTTCTTTCAATATTTTCCTTATTAAGACATGGTAACTTGAAAACTATAACCACTGCTTTCAATTTTATCTCAACCATCAAAGAATCAAACATGCATTACTTCACAGAAATTGCATAATCAAACAACAATGTTCATATTGATAGAAAAATGTAACAGATCACATAAGCACCACATTTAATTCAATGTTTCTATCTTAATCGCTCTCTAATTAGTCTAAACAACACTATTTAAATGTAGATCATTCGTTGATGCTTCAGTACACCATCAATCCACACAAAAACCTACAAATCACAGAAGCAGTAACCAAATCGTAAACAAAACAATTACCAAATCTGAATCTAATCCTTCATCAGATTATCTTGGCTATTGAATTAAAAAGCAAATAGAAAATAATGACCCATAAATCGGAAATCCAAAATCGAAAATGATGAGAACGATGACATCATGTGACTGGAAAAAAGAACAGCCATAACAATGAACATTAGAGCAAAGCATATAATTTCAAGCAAAGAATCTAATTTCTACCAACATCACCTCCATTCCAGAGAAAATAATTGAGTTTTAGGGGAAAAAAACTTACCAAGAGCGGTGTTTTCGACGAGGGACCCGGAGGGCTTTGCTTCCGGCGACGATTGTCGGAGGTGGAGACGGAGTCGATGCAGCGCAGCAGTCGGAGCTCGAGGAAGAGAGGACGTCGATGATTACGATGGAGGGGAGGGACAAAGCTTCAGTCGATCGGGGATGAACGTTTTGTGTGTGTGTGCGTCGATGAAAATAAAACAGTGGAGGCGTGATATTGAGAAACCTAGGGCACTTCGATCCTTTTTTTTTTCAGATGCGCTTTGAAGTCTGAATTTTTAAGAGGTATTTTTTAAATTCAGATGTGTTTTATAAGAGGGTACCAAACATGCTATATCTGAATTTTTAAGATGTTACCTCTTAATTTTTCAATTAAGAGGTAAACAAACAGGGCCTTAGTCATTAATATTTTTTTGTTTCAAAATAAGTCATTTTTGTATTTGTGCTCATTCAGTATTTATGAATGCGGAACAATCATTGATGAAGTGTGTGGGGTTGTTAATGAGTAATATAAGAAACGCGGAATCCTTAATACTGTTGATGAGTGTGTACAGTCATGTCTTCGCATTCCCACGATCAACGATAGAACCTGAAAACATAAACAACCGGGTAAGCACAAAGTTTAGTGAGTTTCCCCCAAAATACTCGATAAAACAAACATATTATCATGCATAACAGACCCACACTCATCATATTGGAATACCTTGGCCTAATCAGTCATCAGACTGGAATGCCAACATGCAACCGGTCCAATCAGTCATCGGACTGGAATGCCAACATGCAACAGCTCCAATCAGTCATCGGACTGGAATACCTAGGGTTTGTCGACATGCCGCCTTAACCCAATCGCTCTTCTCGAGCCTCCGTGCCTACAACTTACAACCGACCCGCACCATGTATCTTGGCCTACAACATATAGCAGGACCACCTCAACCTATCCCACCACCATATGGCTATCCCACGTAAGATGTCGCGAGAAAACCTAAAGAAATCATTTAAAAGTACTGAATGAATACAAAAACAAAAATGACTTATTTTGCAACAAAAAAAAAATATTAAGAACTAAATGTGTACAAAAATATTAATGACTAAATGTGTACAAAGTGATAAATATATTACCTTATTAAGTCATTTTTACCGGCTAACCTGGAGTAGCCGGTTATAAGGACTAAATATGTACAGTTTAACAAGTTGAAAGGGCAAATATGGAAATATGTAAAAATCAAATAATATATTGCTTTTTTAAATCATTATCCCCTCTCATAGGTAGCTCAATGCCGCATTTCTCCACCGAACTCGTCATCCTAAGTCGAGACGAGTCCGTATAGCCTAAGGTTAAAGTCAAATGAGCTAAATGGCAACGTTCAAAGTTTATGCTTGATGGTCATTTTTATAGAAAAGGTAAAAAGTGAAAGATTGGTGGCTACAAAGTACAAAGTACCAAATAGCTCCTAAATCAAACCACGTTTTTTCTTTTTTGGGTTTTCTACGATTACGTCATACGGTGGATTAATTACACCGTTGAAGCCCCTCTGGTGACGCAGAGCTAAACCCAAAATTGATCGGTGGAATTCGACGACGGACCAAAATCACACACCATCTGGAGACCATGGCGGTTGATAGTATGCCTCCGATCATCTACGCACAACTCAATTACCTCCTCACTCATTCTCCTCACTCCATCAAGGTACGCGATTTCCGCATTTAGGGTTACATCAAGCTTTACAACTGAACTTTAAAAACCCTAAGTCAGATTCAAAGGTTCGTGTTTCTCCTTTGATTAATTGTCTCGTTTTCTGCAGGTTGAGCAAATGTGGTCTGGTTCCAAAAATCCTGGTTTCCTTGATCGATTTACCTTGGCAATCCCTTTTTGTCTCGATTACATCAAATGTCAGTTTACTAGTTTCCTTTTTGCATTTTCAGTTGATTTGTTATTCAGTAGAAACCGATTCTTTTGCCCGTGATGTACTCTCTGCATTTAGAATAGAAAAAAACATGTTTCCTTTTGTGATCAGAAATATCCTCTCACATTCATGCGGATTTTGTATTCAGATTTGGTGTTGTAATTACAGGGGATGTTATCTACAATGCACAATTCCCATTGTTGGCACCAGATATCATTTTTGGACCTGAAGATGAAAGCTTCAGACCATACCACGCTGGTGGAGAAGGAGACCTGAAACCCAAGAACAGTTTATCTGATTGGAATTGCAAAGATCCAACTAAGCTATTGTCTCTGATTCATGAACTTAGGTATTTGCATTATGGATAATTTCCCATTTAGTATACATAAATGATTATGTTCTCCACTGCAGAAATTTATACATGGCATACCAGAAAAAACGTGTTGGAAATGTTGATGATGAAAGACTAAAGTTTGAAATCAACACTATTTATTCTCAAGAGGGAATCGAAATGTATATGAGCTCTGGTTTTGACAAGGTATTTTGATTTTCATATGAGTTATATATACTTTTATTTCATTATGAAAATTTTAAATTTTGTAATGATGTTATCATTCAACTGTAGTGTAGCCAGAAGAGGTAAAATTTGCAGTGCCTTTGTTGGAGATGGATTTGAACAAAATGGTTGCAGGGTCCACCTGGCGTCATCAACAGAAGATATACTTACAGGTAAAATCTTGTTTATGTTTTTATATTTATATATATATTTTTTATTATCATTTCTCTTTTTTGTGTTGAATCAATTCAGGTTATATATCCTGTGGGTAGAAAGTATTCAGCAATGAGTTCAGCTCCACGTTTAAAATTAGTATCTACCCCTGAGTTGAAGACTTTATTCTCCATTGATGACTTCAGACTTCCTCCTTGGTTGGAAGGAATGTAAGCCCCTGTTTCTTTTTTCTTAAATGACTATTTTACCCTAAAAGAAACAACACCTAAGACATTTGAATATTGTTTTTTTGATTTTGTTTAAAGGTGCATGGCTGAATATCTTCCAAATTTAGAGGAGATTCTTCAATCACAGGTTAATATTTTATTCTCTTCTATTTCAATTTACCAATTCTATTACAACATTGTACATTCAAGAAATATCAACATACTTTCATTACCTGTTTTTGTTTTTTAATTTTTTATTAATTTTATAGATAAGAGATGCTATTTCATTAATTGAAGTTAGAAGAAAGTTCATCACAGCATTAGCTATTCCTTTTGGAAGGCCACTAGAAGCTGATCCAGTATGTAAATTTTTTACATTTTGAATTTAATAAACTTTTTTTTATTCGATTCAAAATCTTATATTTTATATTTGTTTTACCAGGTATTTTGCAGGAAGGCAACATTTCTAGCTTGCTCTGGCGCATTCACATTTCTGGTATTATCAATTATGACAGTTTTATAAAGTTATAAAATTTCTGGTTTTATAATTTTATAAAGTCATAAAATAAATGTCATATTTTATGTTTTATAGGTGCACTTTTCACTTCCACTTCAGTTCCCTAGGCAACAACCTGCTCTCATTCTTCAAAGTTCTCAGGTTCCATATCCCTTTAAAAATAGCAATGTACTATCTGACATGTTTTTTATTTTTATTTTTATTTTTTATTTTTTATTTTTTTGAAGCATTTTCACTCTCCACCTGGTAATGCACCCATAAAGTCAGCTACTTTACAAGATTATCCATGGAGTCCGAGGTGGGATGTGGCAGAAATGACAGAGAGAATCTTGTAAGTTTTTTTTTTTTTTTTTTTTTTTTTTTTTTTTTTTTTTTAATAAAAGTTTTATATAATTTATACAATGATATGTTCTCATGAAGTTTGCTGATTCTAACAGTGAGTATCTTATGGAAGAATGTTTAAATTTCAAGAAGTATTGCAATGAAGTACTCCTTCAGCAGCGTTAGTGATATTTATTATTTACTTCAATTTCTTGTATTATTCGTGTAATGTAATATGAGTTTTTAAAAATTGTCCTTTTATTTCCAGATTTAATTCGTGATGATATGTTTGTAATGTTGAATTAAGTAGTTAAAGACTTTAACATAATTTGGTAAATATGCTTTTTTATTTGTATGATGAATTGTAGATTTAAGTCGTTTTAACATTTTTGGTTAGCTTTTGCTAAAATAAATAAAAGTGATACATTTATAAAAGTCGTATGTTAATATTAGTAAATAGACTTTTTTATAAAATCTAGCAATTCGAATATGAAGCATTTTGTTTATACACAAACTAGCCACCGAATAAGTCAAAGGCAGGCTGCAGGCCATGGGTCAAATGCCCAATACGAATTTATTTTATCATATGGTTTCTTTAATCAGAAATATAAATTGATTTTTTATATATAATAAATATATACTGTTTTTATATTCTTTACAAATAATAAATCTTCTTTTATTTATTTTGTCCACAATGATTGATTAATTTCACTAAGCTTTTTATAATTTAATATTAGAGTGAACAATCAACACACGTTCACACCTTGTATTTATGGCATGTTAAATATTATTCCACCGACTTTACATATTTCCAACTTTAGTTCTTCATTTGTTTTACTTTTACCATTCAACTGGTTGGATCATCCCTATTGGTTTACTACATTCACGAGATTGAGTGTGATCTTTATCAATAAAAAACGATTTGCTATTATTACATATTTTCTCAGTTCATTCATTCTATAAATATTTTTATTCTATTAACGCGAATTGGATCTTTATAATATTCCCAAATCATTCAATTTATCAATCATTCTATAAATATATTTTTTCAAACATGATCTTTTGTAGAGAAAACAATAGTTGAGGGGTGAGAGTTGCAATTAGGGAAAGTTTTAAACCTGAAAAGCATATTCAATATCAATACCCTGGCGCCATTTGGGCCCTCAATTTCCTACCACCGTCAACCCCCATCATCCACGATCCTTTCAACTCCGATTCTCTCTCTCTCTCTCCCACCGCTTTTAGATCTATCGATCAGTTCCTTCATCACTATATATCCAACCGCAATCTCGTTCTCGCATCATCTTCTCCAGAAATCATGAGAGAAATCTTGCACATTCAAGGAGGCCAATGCGGCAACCAAATCGGTACAAAGTTCTGGGAAGTTATCTGTGATGAACACGGCATTGATCACACCGGAAGTTACAGTGGAACCACTGCTGATCTGCAACTTGAACGTATCAACGTTTACTTCAATGAAGCGTCCGGTGGCCGGTATGTTCCTCGGGCTGTGCTTATGGATCTCGAGCCTGGGACTATGGAGAGTATTAGATCTGGCTCCAATGGGCAGATCTTTCGGCCGGATAACTTTGTGTTCGGGCAATCCGGTGCCGGAAATAATTGGGCTAAAGGACATTACACTGAAGGCGCTGAGTTGATTGATTCAGTTCTCGACGTTGTTCGTAAGGAGGCTGAGAATTGCGATTCGTTGCAAGGTATATGATAATATTTCACTCCGTATACAATTCGAATCCCGATCTCTAGATACTATTCATTTCGAAACGCATTTTTTTGTGTTTACCGACATCAGTATTGATTTGAATTTTTGTGTGTAAAACGGTAAATCGTCATAAATTGTGTGTTCGTGTTTGATCTCATGTTGAATTTGCTTTGTGTGATTTTTGTTTGATCCAATTTTGCAGGTTTTCAGGTCTGCCATTCGCTCGGTGGAGGTACAGGTTCAGGCATGGGAACACTTTTGATTTCGAAGATCAGAGAGGAATATCCCGATCGAATGATGCTTACGTTCTCAGTTTTTCCTTCACCAAAAGTCTCTGACACAGTTGTCGAACCCTACAATGCAACACTCTCGGTGCACCAGTTGATCGAAAATGCCGATGAATGTATGGTTCTCGACAACGAAGCACTGTACGACATCTGTTTCAGAACATTGAAACTCAGCAATCCAAGTTGTAAGTTCGTTTTTTCATCAATTCGTTTACGATACATCGTTTTATTTCTTCAATTTGCTTTACAGTCGGTGATCTCAACCACTTGATCTCTGCAACAATGAGCGGCGTAACTTGCTGTTTGAGGTTTCCCGGCCAACTGAACTCCGATCTCCGGAAGCTAGCAGTTAATCTAATCCCATTCCCTCGTCTCCATTTCTTCATGGTCGGTTTCGCACCTCTCACATCTCGTGGGTCCCAGCAATACACCTCACTCACCGTTCCAGAATTGACTCAACAAATGTGGGATTCCAAAAACATGATGTGCGCAGCAGATCCACGTCACGGACGCTACCTGACGGCGTCCGCCATGTTCAGGGGGAAGATGAGCACGAAGGAGGTGGATGAACAGATGATGAACGTTCAAAACAAGAACTCATCTTACTTTGTGGAATGGATTCCGAACAACGTGAAATCCAGCGTCTGTGACATTCCACCGACCGGACTGAAAATGAGTTCGACGTTCATCGGAAACTCGACTTCGATTCAGGAGATGTTCAGACGAGTGAGCGAGCAGTTCACGGCGATGTTTAGGCGGAAGGCGTTCTTGCATTGGTACACCGGTGAAGGAATGGATGAAATGGAATTCACTGAAGCGGAGAGTAACATGAATGATTTGGTGGCGGAGTATCAACAATACCAAGATGCTACGGTGGAGGAGGACGAGGAGGAGGAGGAGGAATACGACGGCGGCGTGGAGGAGTAAACTGTAAACTGGTAAAGTTTCACTTTTTGTTGTCGTTTTGCTATGTGATGCGATTTCGATTGTACTTTTTACTGTTTTGGTGGTTGATTGAGTTTTTTCGTATGATCTTTATGGGTGATTTTTACTTTTTGTAAGTATTTTAAGATTTTTTTTTTCATTTTTTATTATTTTTAATAGAATGGTTAATGAAGTGTAGTGAGGTTACCCTACATGATGGGTGATTGGCAGCAAAGGGACAAAATGCTGGACTTTTTGAACCAATTAAAAAATGTGGATGTGTATTTTTCACACCTTTCTAAAAACCAACTTCTCTCTAATAATGGAAATAATTTGTTAAAATATAACCAAATTATTTAATCTTTTTATGTGTATTATGGGGTATGCTAAACTAATAATAATAAATTAATAATAATAAATTCTTAAACTAAAACAGTGGACCTCGAATGATAATTCATACTAGTCGAATACGCGGCCAATCTCAATCAAATTAAGATTGGGAAGCGATTTGGTTTTTATTTGGTATATTCATATCAACGACATGGAGAAGCTATTTACACGTCTTTGTGATACTTGGATCAGAAATTTTAGAATGTTTGCAACTAAGACAAAGTTTGGGAGAAAGGTTTCCGTGCATGAATCTCGTACACGTTATGGGAAAGTGGTGAAACATCAACATCATAATCAAAATGATACCATCTTTATATGAGATGGTATGTGTTATGCTAATTGTTGGAAATTCTGGAAGGAGTAAATTAAGTTGGCAAATTTTTTTCCCATACACGTGAGATGAAGAGCATTTTTGTGAGGCTTTAAGGCTTTCCTTCACTTAACCTTTTAAAGGGAGGTTAAAAGCTTGCCTAGGAGTGACGAATCTAGAACTGAAAACCACATGGTTTTGTGAAACTGAAAAAAATAAAAGAGTAAAAAATACTAGTGGCTGATCGGGCTGTATAAATAATTTTTTTTAAACATATCAATAATTATATTAAATTTCTTACAATTATACATGACGATGTCCTATATCTTGAAATATATTCATTGTATCGTTATCGATACTTTCTAAAAAATATTTTTTTAGTAACTATTGAACTAACCATTCTAATTGTAACTAACAACATTGATTTCAAAATAGTCACTAACCGTAACTAGCAAACATAACATTAATTTGATATACACAATATTTTTCGGTAGCAATATAACGATTTAATATACTTATGTTTAATACTTATAATGCATAAACAAATTCATAAGGTAAGTAGTAATTAAGTAATATATTGTTTTGTACCTTCACTTGTGACGGATGAGTTGGGACATCGATTTTGAAGGCTAAATGATGAAATATCAGTTTAGAACTTTAGAACCAACATACGTTTTATTATCAATCAAATATTCTCAAATCTCAACTAATTGTATAAATTGGAAATAGACAAACGTCAAAAACTTGTGGGCTGTGGGATGGAAGCTGGAGGTAGGTCCTTTAAAACTTCTAAGGTAGTTCTTAATTTTTTCTGGGTATAATTTATAATATAAGTTGCAAAATTAGGTGGGTCCTAGGACCCACCTTAGCACTATGTACATACACCCCTATTGCCTAGTCGAGTCGAGGACACTGATATGAGGTTCACGAAATGGGGAAATTTAGTTAGGCGTGCACGTTGAAACTTCATATCAGTCGTTCCGTCTTAGCCAAAATGCGTGACACGCCTAACCTAAATATCGAGATCCCCTCTCGACCTTAAATCGCCCCTTTTCTAGTTGATATAATCATGAAGCAGGAAAGGAACCAATCTGAAATAAATTTTCGATCTATGAAAACCGAGGGTTGTGGCTGTACATAGAGAATCTGAGTGATTATGCGTTACCACATAAATAATTTCTTATTTAACACCTTTATGACATGTACATATCGGTCACATATCCCAAAGAGCTATAGAAAGCCTCGGAGCTCAAGTATATGCCACATGAGAAAGGTCTAACAAGTAATTTGCGCCAAAGTACTTAGACATCCAAATAAAGACCAATCTTGGAGCATGTAGTTTTTGATCTTACTCAACAAGTTGACTATGCTTTCCATCTCTCTATCAGAACTCTTCCAGGTGTGTGTGATTATTGCACACACTCTAGGAAAGATTTCTCTAAGAGTGGGTGTAATTATTGCACACCCTCTTAGAAAGATTTTCACTAAGAGAATGATCACACAAATATAAGGACTGCTCATCAGATGATTTGTTGAAGCGCCTACGATTTGAGGATGATGATTGCACAAATATGATGATTACTCTGGCCAAAAGAGCAAATCTAGGTTAAAAAAAGAACAACTTTGAACCATGAAGCGAGAGTTCAAGAATCACAACCATCAACAAGAATCCACCACCAAAAACCAACTAAAGAGTAC